TTTCTACATTTGTGCATTTTTACTCTGATTATTGTTCAGGGTCTTTTATTTTGGTGGTTTGGAGCCGGTGACATCCTGGAATGAATTCAGGGCCCACGAACAGCGCCTCTGATGTTCTGGTGCTTTCGCTGTGCGAGTGGTCATCAGGTGTGCCGTCGCTCTGTCCAGGTAGCTTCCTCACTTTTAAATAAAACCATTTCCTGGAGTGGGGGGCCTGTTTCCTGTGGTGAGGACACACCGAGGACGTGATTCAGTCGTTGGTTTGTTCAGCTCTGAAACACGAACGCTCGTTTACTGTTTCTCCCACATGGTCTGTGTGTCACCTTGTATGTGGACCAAATTCCAGGTAAACATTTCTGTTTCCTCTGGAATAAAATCACAACAATTTTCCCTCATTATCGTTTCTGTTCAGTTCACACCAAGCCCGTGACCTCCTGACCTTTAAAGCAGCGTGCAGGACTGCACCGTAGCGTGACGTTTGCACTGACGACCTCTGCTGCTGCTGAATTTCTCACTTCAGATAATCTGATGAATCAAAAATGCCACCGTGTGTTCCTGGCAGCGCAGCAGACTGCAGTGTTTACACGTCTCAGTCGGAGTTTAACTCGTTTAACTTATCCAGGCTTTGTTAGCTGGCTCGACAAAACCAGAAACCCCAGGCAGAGATATCATGATGGTGGTTATGATGTTAAGCCAGGCTTTGTGCATCAGGTCCTGAGTGTCACATCAAAAATGGTTCCTGTTATCAGGTGATGATGATAAAAATCCAAAGACTGTAAAAATATGAGAGTAAAAAGGAAACGAGCTGAACTCACGAATCTGCCGATGAGTTTCTGACAGATTGACGTCACAGAGAAGACGAAGAGTTTAAATCATTTCTGTCAGCGCTGCTGTTTGTTTCTCCACATCAGAGCTCTGCAACTTTAACCTGCAGCCATGGAAACATTAACGCTTCCCACAGCCCGATGACGACACCCGGAGTGAACGAATGTGATTGGATGAACCAGTAGAACATCATCTTTGGCATGAATGCATGAACATTCAGTGACACTGAAACATCATGACAACTTAATAAAGCTTCACCTGAGCTGGACCTCTGCAGCGTGTTTGTGCTGTTGGAGCCTTTTAATGACGTCATGTGACCAATAATATGGCTGCTGTGAGGTCACTGTTCTAACACACCGTCCAAGGAGGCGGAGCTCCAGTTTAGGTGAAACTCTGTGACTTTAATTGGATGTTACTGAGTCTGTATGATACCAAACAACACAGCATTAGCTGGGAACTTGGCTGTGTGTGTGTGTGTGTGTGTGTGTGTGTGTGTGTGTGTGTGTGTG